CTCCCTCTCTCTCTCTCTCTCTCTCTCTCTCTATCTCTCCGCTCTCTCTCTCTCCGCTCTCTGATCTATCTCTCTATCTCTCCCTCTCTCGCTCCTCTCTCCCTCTCCCTCTTCTCTCTCTCTCTCTCTCCTCTATCCTCTCTCTCCTCTCTCTCTCGTCTCTCTCTCTCTCTCTCTCTCTCTCTCCCTCTCTCTCTCTCTCTCTCTTCTCTCCTCTCTCTCTCCTATCTCCCTCTCTATCTATCCCTATCTATCTCTCTCCCCTCTCTCTTCTCCTCTCTCTCTCTCTCTCTCTCTCTCTCTCTTATCTACTCTCTCTCTCTCTATCTATCTCTATCTCTATGTCTCTCTCTACTATCCCTCTCTTCTCCTCTCTCTCTGCCCTCTCTCATCTCTCTATCTAATCTCTCGCATATCTCTCTCTCTCTCTCTCTCTCTCTCTCCTACTCTCTCTACCTCTATCTCTTCTCATTACCTATCTCCATATATGATATACATATCTCTCTATATAACATATATACATATATCTCTCCATATATATATACATATATCTCGATCATCCATTCTCTCTCTTCCTCTCTATATATATACAACTCTCTATATACATCTATATATGCATATATATATTACATATATATCTATATATATTATATATATAATTTTTAATTTTTAATTAAATTTTAAATACATATTACATATATAGAGACATATACATCTATACATATATATATATATAACATATACTATATATATAATATCATATATATATATATAATATCTCTATACATATATACATATATAGATATATATACATATATACTATATAATATATATACATATATATATATATACATCTATATACATATATACTATATTTACATCGATAAATATATCTCTATATATATACATATATATATATATATATAACATATATATATATATACCTATATATATAATATACATATATATATATAGATACATATATATTATTACATATATATATATATACATCTATAAAAGATATACATATATCTATATATACATATATTATATATACATATATATATATATACATATATCTATGATATACATATATATATATATATATAGTATATATATATATATATAATATATATACAATATATATTATACACATATATATAGTATACATATTATATCTACATATATATATATATACATATTATATATATATATAGTATACATATATATATATATCTAATATATTAATATATATTATATATATATACAGTACATATATATATATACATATATAGTAGATACCTATATATTAATATACATATATATATTATACTATATATATATACATATATATATACATATATAGTATATACATATATATATTATACATATATATATATACATATATATATATATACATATATATTATAATATATATATATATATATATATAATATAATAATATATATGACATATAACATATACATATACATGACATAAACATATACATAATACATATACTATACATATACATATACATATAGCATATACATAACATATATACATATTATATAATATATATAGAATATATATATATATATTATATATATATCTAGAATATCTATATTAATACATATATATACACATCTCTATATATGTTATATATATTATATATATATACATATATATATATCTAAATTTCTATATATATATATTTATTTTATCTATATCTCTTTTTATATCTATAATATCTATATATCTCTATCATCTATATCTCTCTCTATATAATACTGTCTTACATATCTACATATATATATCTACTATATCACCCTCTCTCTATCTCATCTATCTATCTCATCATCTCTCTATATATATATATAATATATCTATCCTTATATCTATATCTACCATACACTCTCTACTATTTACTATCTCTCTATTTCTATATATCTTTTCTCTCTCTCTCTCTCTTAATCTCTCTCTACTTCTCCTTTATCTCTCTATATTTCTCCTCGCTATATATCGTTTCTCTCTCTCTCTCCTCATCTTCTCTCTCTATATCTCTCTGCTCTCTCTCTATTCTCTCTATCTCTCTCCTCTCTCTCCATCTACCTCTCTCTTCGCCTCTATCTATCTATCTCTCCTCTCTCTATCTCTATCTATCTTCTCTCTATCTCTCTCTCCCTCTCTCTCCTCTCTCTCTCTCTCTCTCTTCTCTCTCTCCTGTCTCTCCTCTATCTATCTCTCCTCTCTGTATCTCCCCTCTATCCTCTCTCTCTATATCTATATCTCTCTCATATCTCTCTCTATCTCTCTCTCTCTCTCTGTCTCATCCTCTCCTAAATCTCTCTCTCTCTCTCTCTATCTCTCATCTCTCTCTCATCTATCTCTCTCTGATCTCTCCCCTCTCTCTATCTCTCTCTCTGTATCTCCATCTCTCTCTCTATCCTCTCCCGTCTCTAATCTGTCTCTCCCTCTCTCCTCTCTCTCTCTCTCTATCTCTCTCTCTCTCTATCTCTCTCTTCCGCTTATCTCTCTCTATCTCTCTATGTCTATCCTCTATCCCTCCCTCTCTCTCTCTTCTCTCTCTCTCTATCATCTCATCTATCTCTCTCTCTCTCTCTATATCATCTCGTCTATCTCTCTCTGTTTGTCAGATATCTATCTCTATGTATATCTCCTCTCTATATACCACATTATCTCTCTCTCTGCTATATCTCTCTATCATCTCTCTATAATATCTCTTCTATATCTTATATATCTTCTTCTATTCTATCTCTATATATATGCTCTATATTATATATCTTCCATCTATTACCTCTCTGACTATCTTCCATATATTACCTATATTCCCTCTATTCCTCTTTCTCTATCTTACCATCTATTCTCCTCTCTTCCTCCTCTTCTCTCTCTTCTCTACTCTTCTCTATATCTATGACTTCTCTATCCTTCTCTATCTTCTCTCTCTTCTCTCTACTTCTCTCTAACTACTCTCTCTTTCCTATAATATACTCTATATCCTATAGCTCCTCTATATACTCCTCTCTCCTCTCTCTACTCTATATACTCTCATCTATTATATATTACTATCTCATTAATAATCTCAGATATTAATAGATATCTATCCGCTCTCTCCTCGCTATCTCTCTCGCTTCTCATCTCCTATCGCTGCTCGCTCTCTCTCTCGCTCGCTCTCTCGCTCGCTCTCTCGCTCTCTAGCTCTCTCGCCGCTCTCTCGCTCGCTCTCTCGCCTTCTCCTAGCTCGCTCTCTCGCTCGCTCTATCGCTTCTCTCTCGCCTCGCTATCTCGCTTACTATCTCTCTGCTCGCTCGCTCTCTCGCTTCTATCTCTCTCTCGCTCGACTCTCTATCGCTTCTCTCTCCCTTCGCTTCTCTCTCATCTTCGCTCCTCTCTCTCTCTCTCTCTCTCTCCTCTTTAGCTCTCTCTCTCTCTCTCTCTCTACGCCTCTCGATCTCTTCTCCATCCTCTCTCTCCATCTCTATCCTCCCTCTCTCTCTCGCCCTGTCTCTCTATCTCTCTCTCTCGATCTCTCTCCCGCTCTCTCTCTGTGTGTTGTTGTGTCCCTCTACCCCGCGATGCCCTTTCTTGCTGGGTGCTAGTCCCCAGCCGCCCCGCGCCCTTGCTGCTCTTTCGTTTTTCCTCTCCTGCCCGCCCCCTTCCCTTCCCTTTTCCGATTCCTTTTCGCCGTGTGCCTTCTTTTGTATTTTTCCCCCCCGCCGTCTGTCTTTGGGCCTTTTCCCGGCCCTTCAGGGGGCCCACGGCCAGCCCCCTTACGCTTTCTTGCTTATATACATATACAAAATGACAGTGACTGCTTTACAAATTAATCTGCTCAGTGATGGATTAAGTGCAATCCAGTTTTAAAAAGAGTAACCCCTCTGCAGCAATCACAAAGTGGACATTATATGTGATAGAGATTTATTGGCCTTGGCTGGAGTGCAGAGCAAAGGATATGCTGATCATCTGATACAGTCCTCTTCTGGGACCCTGTTACTGAGAACGACGCACCGTCCAGAGATGAAGTCCCAAAACTTGGATTTCGTGCAAATCCTAAAATCCAAACCAAACCTTTCCTGCTTTCTATTTATTTTCTAGTGGGGGGGGGGGGGTAGAGGGAAGCACCTGTCCCTGTACCCTTCCTTTAATAGCACTTCCTGCCAACTGTCATAACTATTTTGATATAGATTTTTAAGGGTACAGATAAGCTGCAGTGAGGAGGATTTATATAAAATGCGATATTCAGAACTCTGGCTGTGTGAGGGTGTTGTGGACTAAAGCCACTGATATGCAGTGGATATTTTCATCATTTCGCAGTAAATATGAGGCCACAGCAGCTGTACCTGTGTCGTTTCTTACTCTATTTCTTATGCTCTATAAGATAGCAGTGTCCATTTTCCTCTATCTCTGTGCGTCATTCTCGGTAACATTAACCCTATTCTGGACAATTACCTAGTATTCTTTATTATCCCTTTTTGATGGAACTTTTGTTCATTAATGACCTGTCTAGATAAATTTATACCAAATATGCAAGCAAATCCCAATAACATAAATTACAGCACATAACATACACATTTCTATGAAAAAAAAAACACTTTCAATCTTGACTGAAACGAATGAAAGAAAAAATCATAAAAAAAATGTAAACTTAACACCTTGCAGCAAATCATACAAGATCTATAACACCAGCACCACCTTAACACACACACACACACACACACACATAGACTTAAAACCAATACCGTAAAACAAACAAGAAAAAAAAACTCTTTTACATTCCACGTCTTAGTAACAATCAATACAACAATAAAAGGAACAAAAATACCTAATAATAACGACACAAGTAACAATAATATCTTTAATACCTTATCATTACCACTCGCACCCCATGATACACATCAACACGCTATTCACACGAAAACATTACTAACAAATATAAAAAACATATCTAACATTACTCAACACGTATATTAAACACGAACAAAGAGACGAATGGCTAATAGTCCTTTTCAACACGGAAAAAGACTACAGTAATATATCCGAATAAGCACAAAATGACGAAATTCCTCACACACACACACACCGCTCTCTCTCTCCTGCAACTCACTAGGAAGGGGCTGGAATGAAGAAACCGGATGTAATTTGCCTCTCCTTTTTTTACTCTTTATATACTTTTTATATATCTCTTTTTCTCCCCTATTTTCTCCTTTTTTTGCTGACTGTGCGTGACTTGTGTATATCGAGGCTGACAAGACAGGTCCTTTTTGGTTGCATTTTTGACTCGTTTATTCTACGGGTTGGGTGTGATTTTTTTTTTTTTAATGGGTACAGTAATAGGGGAGGGAGGGAGGGAGAGAAAGAGAAAGAGAAAGAGAAAGAGAGAGAGAGAGAGAGAGAGAGAGAGAGAGAGAGAGAGAGAGAGAGAGAGAGAGAGAGAGAGAGAGAGAGAGAGAGAGAGAGAGAGAGAGAGAGAGAGAGAGAGAGAGAGAGAGAGAGAGAGAGAGAGAGAGAGAGAGAGAGAGAGAGAGAGAGAGAGAGAGAGAGAGAGAGAGAGACTGTTAGACAGATAAGACTAAAACATTAAGACAGACGGACAAACAAAAAGACATAGACAGACACACACAGGCCTTCGTACAAACAGAAGAACAGATAGACAGACAGACAAACAGACAACTACAAATATACACAGAGTCGGCACGTCGCTTACAAAATGCCAGCGGATGATTACAGATAAAGAAATAACAAGAGATACAGACAAGAGCAAGATAGACGTCAGATATATATATTAATTTAACACATTTACAAGTTTCAATATTATGAAACTGTAAGAGGAAGGGGAAGGAGGGAGAGAAGAGAGTGAATTAGAGAGACAGGGAAAGACTGAGAGAGGGACAAAGCAAGTGGGGGGGGGGGGGGAGAGATAAACGTAAGAGGTACAGAGAAAGAAAAAAAATATAAAGGAAATGAGAGGCAACGATGACAGAGAAAATAAGGGAGGGATGAAAAAAAAAAAACATTTAGAATGATTAGGAAAATCTGAGCGAGTGAGGACAGAGTAATACGGGGATGGCGAATTAACGTAAAGAGAAGGCGGGAAGGGAAATGAGAAGTGTATATATACATATATATAGATAGATAGATAGATAGATAGATAGAGAGAGAGAGAGAGAAAGGGAGGGAGGGAAGCAGGACGGAGAGGGGAGAGAGAGAGAGAAAGAGAGAGAGAGAGAGAGAGAGAGAGAGAGAGAGAGAGAGAGAGAGAGAGAGAGAGAGAGAGAGAGAGAGAGAGAGAGAGAGAGAGAGAGGAGAGAGAGGGAAGGAGGACGGAGAGGGGAAAGAAAGAGAGAGAGTAAATGAATAGACAAGGAAGTAAGACCAAATTTGCTATTTCATCTTGGATGATTAGCAATATTCAACAGGAGCTGATCTGAGTTTTCCCTCTAATATTTGTGAAATCAGAGCGTTTCGCTGTAAAATGAGAAGCGATAAAAATGTATATGTAAGCCTCTGGTGTTACTTTTAGATAGGATGAGGCAGTTTAGTAGACAATGGCGCGTAGCTATTCGGGACTGGAAAATAACCGAGGCAATAGTGTTGGAACTGATAAGAACAATTTCACTCAAAAAAACAATAATAATAATAATGATAATAATAATAGATAAATAATAGATACGTGTGATAAGTAAACCCTTGATTAATTTGCGTTATTGTGGAACCAGCTTTGTGATTAACATTTTAAATCAGGAATCATAATGAATTACATTTCTTGTAGTTATCAACTGTACAAAACTGCCCTTCACCAAGTTTTGTAGTCGGGAATGGGATGGCGGTATGGAACAGTTCTTAATGATTCGTAGCACATACTACATCTTTATTTAAATTCAGTTTCCCATGGATCTCTTTCTTAAAAAAAAAAAAAAAAAAAATCTACTTAACAACCGAGTTTGACTTTCAAAATCAGAAACTCGATTTCCCAATTTCATCTCACTTGTAACTGACTGGGCCGTTAAATGAATGGCCTCCAGCCTTCATTAATTAAATATATTACACAAGAGTCTTTTATGATATTATTTAGCTCACGGACCCTCAGTTTTATTTTTGTGACCGCCTACAATACAGGGACAAGCAGTTCGGAAACATTACGGGACATATGTCTGGAATAGCAATGCTGTTTTAGCAACGTAGTCTGCATCTTTTTAGCTTCCCTTTGGGGTGATCCAGTTATCCGTGAGTCAGATCGTGGAAATGAGAGGTTGTCTCATAAAAACCGGTTTGGTCTGAATTGGAATGTTTGCGAATGTCACTTTGGTCGTTTGGACTTTCCAGTTGAAACACTGAAGGGAAAATACATATAAATGTCCTTGGGCTTCGTGAATAATAAACTTGTATCTTGAGGGAAAGCAATTATTATCTCCAAATTGGGAAATTTGTTAACTGCAATTCAACTGCCTTAGCGAATATTTATATATAAAGGAATTGCCACGATTCGCAGAAACAGCATATAACAAAGTCTGATGGCGGGAATATGGTAAAGAATGCAATATCATTAGTAACTGGTATAAACACTGACACGGCTGGTGGCGCCGAGTGATCAGTTATTGCATGCGAGATATTATAATAGAGACTATCAGATGCAGATGGTCAGAAAAAAGCAAAGTACTGCAACACAATCTTATAATGGTGTCTTTGCCGTGTTAGGAAAAAAAAATCCAGATTTAATGAATCTTGGTATTCCCGTTATTCATTTAATGTAAAGAATTTTAAAAGGCCATTGCAGGAAAATGGGGGTAATGTAAAACAGAAATGTGCGATATCTATTGTATTTACTTTTGTTGTATATGTTATGTTACCTTTGGACCTTCCACTGATAATAGGGAGCAGATATTGGAAAGTGCCACATGCAGTCTAGAGCAGGATGAGCAAACAGAAGTTTCATGGGGATACTTTGTCTGTTTTATTTGTACTATATCAATGACAGATACAATCATGTTTATATACATATTACATAGGTATGGTGACCAAATTTAAGTTTAACAAAGATATTGAAAGTAACGACTCTACAGTACAGTAAAGTTACTCGTTAGTGAAACACCAAAGAATTATCAACTGTTCACTTTTTAAAAAATGACATATGAGCATCAACAACAAAAAGGTATGTCTAATGCAAAGGAGGAAGAAAAAGGGGGTATGTAGTAACATAAAAAATAATAATAATAATAATAATAGGAGATTGCTCCACCTATCAGCAGGGCTATTATCACACCATGCCAACTGCATGAATGTACTTAATGTCATTACATTTCTGGATAACGCAAATCACACGAACCGAATCACTTCTGGCTCTAGCTTTTACTTATTGATACATTCATATATATTACTAATTTCTAACGGTACTGTACTGTAGCTGTACTGTACAAATGTGGTTATGTTGAAGTTCAAATAGGGTCTGAAAAGGTATTTTAGTCACAAGCTCACAAGGTCCCTCATGTATCTACATTATGCCATGGCTGCGCAAAAACTCAACAGAAAAACGAGGAAAGCCACGTTTCGTGTGGTGGACGAAACTCCAGACCGCAGCTCCGCCCTTACAGAGGGAAGGGAAGGTATCCTCTCAGCGTCTGCATCATCTGCTTCATTTTCTGGATCGGAGTCCTCGTCTGTTTCAACTTCCTCTTCTGGTTCAAATTCTTCTTCTTGGTCGACTTCAGTCTCCTTTACATGGCGAATGAATACAAAACAGGTAAGGAATTGGAGTCGGTCAAAAAAAATGTCGGTTTCTGTTACAAAACAACGTGTGGAAGCAAGTGGAAAATAAAACTCGGTATCCCAGTACTTACCGCACTTTTTTCGCAGATGAAGTTCTTGGACACCTCGCATGTGCTGCTCCAGTATCTGTCGAGGTTAAAATACAAATATACATGGTCTACTTATTATTCAGAGTAATAAAGAACGTATCGATACGACAAACCATTGTACAAGCAGTTTTAAGTTCCTTCAGGCACAGAGGATTGTGATGAGATATATAGCTTATGCTCAGCTTGTTGACTCATTAGTCTGATATATAAGGAAGTGTTCCTTTATCAATGGTCATGTCCATCAGTTCATGACATTGTTACATTTTAAACCAATAAGAGTCTGAGAATTATCCCATCTAACCTTAAGATTAAGAGAGAGGGAGACAGAGAGAGAGAGAGAGAGAGAGAGAGAGAGAGAGAGAGAGAGAGAGAGAGAAATTTCAACCCTCTTACTTGCGAGTAACAGAGCAGAAGTAGGCGCAGCGTTGTGAGTTAGGGTTGTGGTCGCCGCCCCACCACTGCTCATTCATGGGCGCCCCCGAGGCCACCCACCTCCACGCGCCCTGGTTCCTCGTGGCGCCGCCAATCCAGTACACACCGGGGTCTGTGGGAAGGATTCTGATCTTCAGTCGCTTGAAAATTTAGATAATGCGAAGTCACTGTATGAAGTAGTTGGTACTCTGAATATGTATATCTTGTATATTATATAAATGTACACACACATACATATGTGTGTGTGTGTGTGTGTGTGTGAGCGCATATTCATTAGTATATACACAATCACGTACAGTTAACAGCTATATGCGCCAGAATCTCCGTGTACTCCTGAGTCGTGAGAACGGAGGTCAGGTCAGCATTCTCGTTCAGGCAGGATGCACGGGCGTTCATCCAGTCAGTCATTGTGTGCCGAAAGCCATAGCATTTGTCAGCCAAGAGCACATAGTTGTCTGGGCAATTCCCTGTAGGAGAAGTAAATAGCTAATTGACAAACATTCAGACAACATGATCAGGAGGAAAATGAGCAGTCATTATCCCTAATGGATTGCTAGATTGTTAGATATATGTTCTTCCGATATGAAATCATGTAAACTTTGAAATAAATGGGGCACAAAATAGGCCGATGTATATGGAAATGTGCATAAGATATTTTAAAAAGTATTACATTCTCAAACTTACTTTGTAGTTGTGAGACCGCAAGGTTGGGCGCCAAGACCAGATAAGCAGCGGTGAATAAAAGGCTTGTTGTTAACGAAGTCATTTTGCTGTAAATAAAACGATAATGAATTTAACGAATAATACAATCCCCCCCCATCATTCCTCGTACATTAGAGTACAGAGGAAAAAAAAGAAAAGAAAAAAAAACACTATGAAACGTAAAATAGGATTTCAAATTGAACAGTATTACGTAGTGTTACTAACCAGCAGGAGCCAGCGAGCACACGAGATAGAGACGCGATCTTCTGATGACAACTAGTACTGCAAACGGCATCCTGGCAGTTATATAGGGCTCTCAAAATACATGTTGCGGGGCACATCCTTCGTTGCTTGCCCCCTTTTCTCCCGTTTATTATGTTTCATTAGTATATTTTACTATTATTGTGACAGCTAGTGTATGGACTTATAAGGCGTAGTGTTTAAAGATCGTGTGTGTATTGTGTATATATGATAAAGTCTCTTTTTTCGATTCAAGGTAATTCTCATTCATAATGTCTATCAGTATGTCTCTCTCTCTCTCTCTCTCTCTCTCTCTCTCTCTCTCTCTCTCTCTCTCTCTCTCTCTCTCTCTCTCTCTCTCTCTCTCTCTCTCTCTCTCTCTCCCCTCTCCCTTCCCCCACCACTTTCTCTTTCTCCCTCCCCTACCTCTTTCACTCTCCTTCTCTCCCCTTTCCTCGCCCCTCCCTATTTCCCATTTCCGTCTACCTATCTTATCTATCTTTTTTTTTCCTTTCTCCTCTCTCTCTCTCTCTCTCTCTCTCTCTCTCTCTCTCTCTCTCTCTCTCTCTCTCTCTCTCTCTCTCTCTCTCTCTCTCTCTCTCTCTCTCTCTCTCATGAATTCATAAAGCTGAAGTTCACGAATCTATTCAGAAAAAAAAGGGTTTTATCTTGTATCCCTCTTGCTCTGTGTTTGCGCTCGTTTCCCCTCTGTTATCTTTCGTCTCCGTAACCTTTCACAAGTTCCGCTGATATTTAAGAAATGACGCATAGCGACTGTGACATTCGGGAAACTCCAGAGATGTCCTTTTTTGCGATTAAATAAAACGAATACGTACACACGCACACGCACGCGCGCACACACACACACACACACACACACACACACACACACACACACACACACACACACACACACACACACACACACACACACACACGCTATTTGTTTTGTGGTAAATTTAAGATGATTTTCCGCAACTTCTTCTGTTGCATTACAATACAGAATTTCAATCCCGACCGTATACAGTCCTTTCCAATCTAATTAATGAACCAAGATGAAAATTACCCTTTTTTATCCTATTGGAATTTAATTAATGATCTCATCCTTTTGTAAACAGGATTCACGTTTCACAAAGCGAGATCAGAAATCTAGTCAGATTTTTATCTCAGTGTGTATGCGAGTGTGCTTACACACACACACACAAATAAATATGTATATATGTATGTATATATATATACATATAAATATGCATGTATATATATATATGTGTGTGTGTGTGTGTGTGTATGCATATATGAATATGTATACATCACACATATATATGTATGTGTGTATATATAAGTATCTGTGTACACACACACACACACACACACACACACACACACACACACACACACACACATATATATATATATATATATATATATATATATATATACATATATATATATATATATATATATATATATATATATATATATGTATATATACATATGTATATATACAGTATATATATATATATATATATATATATAAGGTAAGGAATTGGAGTCGGTCAAAAAAAATGTCGGTTTCTGTTACAAAACAACGTGTGGAAGCAAGTGGAAAATAAAACTCGGTATCCCAGTACTTACCGCACTTTTTTCGCAGATGAAGTTCTTGGACACCTCGCATGTGCTGCTCCAGTATCTGTCGAGGTTAAAATACAAATATACATGGTCTACTTATTATTCAGAGTAATAAAGAACGTATCGATACGACAAACCATTGTACAAGCAGTTTTAAGTTCCTTCAGGCACAGAGGATTGTGATGAGATATATAGCTTATGCTCAGCTTGTTGACTCATTAGTCTGATATATAAGGAAGTGTTCCTTTATCAATGGTCATGTCCATCAGTTCATGACATTGTTACATTTTAAACCAATAAGAGTCTGAGAATTATCCCATCTAACCTTAAGATTAAGAGAGAGGGAGACAGAGAGAGAGAGAGAGGGAGAGAGAGAGAGAGAGAGAGAGAGAAATTTCAACCCTCTTACTTGCGAGTAACAGAGCAGAAGTAGGCGCAGCGTTGTGAGTTAGGGTTGTGGTCGCCGCCCCACCACTGCTCATTCATGGGCGCCCCCGAGGCCACCCACCTCCACGCGCCCTGGTTCCTCGTGGCGCCGCCAATCCAGTACACACCGGGGTCTGTGGGAAGGATTCTGATCTTCAGTCGCTTGAAAATTTAGATAATGCGAAGTCACTGTATGAAGTAGTTGGTACTCTGAATATGTATATCTTGTATATTATATAAATGTACACACACATACATATGTGTGTGTGTGTGTGTGTGTGTGTGAGCGCATATTCATTAGTATATACACAATCACGTACAGTTAACAGCTATATGCGCCAGAATCTCCGTGTACTCCTGAGTCGTGAGAACGGAGGTCAGGTCAGCATTCTCGTTCAGGCAGGATGCACGGGCGTTCATCCAGTCAGTCATTGTGTGCCGAAAGCCATAGCATTTGTCAGCCAAGAGCACATAGTTGTCTGGGCAATTCCCTGTAGGAGAAGTAAATAGCTAATTGACAAACATTCAGACAACATGATCAGGAGGAAAATGAGCAGTCATTATCCCTAATGGATTGCTAGATTGTTAGATATATGTTCTTCCGATATGAAATCATGTAAACTTTGAAATAAATGGGGCACAAAATAGGCCGATGTATATGGAAATGTGCATAAGATATTTTAAAAAGTATTACATTCTCAAACTTACTTTGTAGTTGTGAGACCGCAAGGTTGGGCGCCAAGACCAGATAAGCAGCGGTGAATAAAAGGCTTGTTGTTAACGAAGTCATTTTGCTGTAAATAAAACGATAATGAATTTAACGAATAATACAATCCCCCCATCATTCCTCGTACATTAGAGTACAGAGGAAAAAAAAGAAAAGAAAAAAAAACACTATGAAACGTAAAATAGGATTTCAAATTGAACAGTATTACGTAGTGTTACTAACCAGCAGGAGCCAGCGAGCACACGAGATAGAGACGCGATCTTCTGATGACAACTAGTACTGCAAACGGCATCCTGGCAGTTATATAGGGCTCTCAAAATACATGTTGCGGGGCACATCCTTCGTTGCTTGCCCCCTTTTCTCCCGTTTATTATGTTTCATTAGTATATTTTACTATTATTGTGACAGCTAGTGTATGGACTTATAAGGCGTAGTGTTTAAAGATCGTGTGTGTATTGTGTATATATGATAAAGTCTCTTTTTTCGATTCAAGGTAATTCTCATTCATATTGTCTATCAGTATGTCTGTCTGTCTGTCTCTCTGTCTCTGTCTCTCTCTCTCTCTCTCTCTCTCTCTCTCTCTCTCTCTCTCTCTCTCTCTCTCTCTCTCTCTCTCTCTCTCCCCTCTCCCTTCCCCCACCACTTTCTCTTTCTCCCTCCCCTACCTCTTTCACTCTCCTTCTCTCCCCTTTCCTCGCCCCTCCCTATTTCCCATTTCCGTCTACCTATCTTATCTATCTTTTTTTTTCCTTTCTCCTCTCTCTCTCTCTCTCTCTCTCTCTCTCTCTCTCTCTCTCTCTCTCTCTCTCTCTCTCTCTCTCTCTCTCTCTCTCTCATGAATTCATAAAGCTGAAGTTCACGAATCTATTCAGAAAAAAAAGGGTTTTATCTTGTATCCCTCTTGCTCTGTGTTTGCGCTCGTTTCCCCTCTGTTATCTTTCGTCTCCGTAACCTTTCACAAGTTCCGCTGATATTTAAGAAATGACGCATAGCGACTGTGACATTCGGGAAACTCCAGAGATGTCCTTTTTTGCGATTAAATAAAACGAATACGTACACACGCACACGCACGCGCACACACACACACACACACACACACACACACACACACACACACACACACACACACACACACACACACACACACGCTATTTGTTTTGTGGTAAATTTAAGATGATTTTCCGCAACTTCTTCTGTTGCATTACAATACAGAATTTCAATCCCGACCGTATACAGTCCTTTCCAATCTAATTAATGAACCAAGATGAAAATTACCCTTTTTTATCCTATTGGAATTTAATTAATGATCTCATCCTTTTGTAAACAGGATTCACGTTTCACAAAGCGAGATCAGAAATCTAGTCAGATTTTTATCTCAGTGTGTATGCGAGTGTGCTTACACACACACACACAAATAAATATGTATATATGTATGTATATATATATACATATAAATATGCATGTATATATATATATGTGTGTGTGTGTGTGTGTGTATGCATATATGAATATGTATACATCACACATATATATGTATGTGTGTATATATAAGTATCTGTGTACACACACACACACACACACACACACACACACACACACACACACACACACATATATATATATATATATATATATATATATATATATATACATATATATATATATATATATATATATATATATATGTATATATACATATGTATATATACAGTATATATATATATATATATATATATATAAGGTAAGGAATTGGAGTCGGTCAAAAAAAATGTCGGTTTCTGTTACAAAACAACGTGTGGAAGCAAGTGGAAAATAAAACTCGGTATCCCAGTACTTACCGCACTTTTTTCGCAGATGAAGTTCTTGGACACCTCGCATGTGCTGCTCCAGTATCTGTCGAGGTTAAAATACAAATATACATGGTCTACTTATTATTCAGAGTAATAAAGAACGTATCGATACGACAAACCATTGTACAAGCAGTTTTAAGTTCCTTCAGGCACAGAGGATTGTGATGAGATATATAGCTTATGCTCAGCTTGTTGACTCATTAGTCTGATATATAAGGAAGTGTTCCTTTATCAATGGTCATGTCCATCAGTTCATGACATTGTTACATTTTAAACCAATAAGAGTCTGAGAATTATCCCATCTAACCTTAAGATTAAGAGAGAGGGAGACAGAGAGAGAGAGAGAGGGAGAGAGAGAGAGAGAGAGAGAGAAATTTCAACCCTCTTACTTGCGAGTAACAGAGCAGAAGTAGGCGCAGCGTTGTGAGTTAGGGTTGTGGTCGCCGCCCCACCACTGCTCATTCATGGGCGCCCCCGAGGCCACCCACCTCCACGCGCCCTGGTTCCTCGTGGCGCCGCCAATCCAGTACACACCGGGGTCTGTGGGAAGGATTCTGATCTTCAGTCGCTTGAAAATTTAGATAATGCGAAGTCACTGTATGAAGTAGTTGGTACTCTGAATATGTATATCTTGTATATTATATAAATGTACACACACATACATATGTGTGTGTGTGTGTGTGTGTGAGCGCATATTCATTAGTATATACACAATCACGTACAGTTAACAGCTATATGCGCCAGAATCTCCGTGTACTCCTGAGTCGTGAGAACGGAGGTCAGGTCAGCATTCTCGTTCAGGCAGGATGCACGGGCGTTCATCCAGTCAGTCATTGTGTGCCGAAAGCCATAGCATTTGTCAGCCAAGAGCACATAGTTGTCTGGGCAATTCCCTGTAGGAGAAGTAAATAGCTAATTGACAAACATTCAGACAACATGATCAGGAGGAAAATGAGCAGTCATTATCCCTAATGGATTGCTAGATTGTTAGATATATGTTCTTCCGATATGAAATCATGTAAACTTTGAAATAAATGGGGCACAAAATAGGCCGATGTATATGGAAATGTGCATAAGATATTTTAAAAAGTATTACATTCTCAAACTTACTTTGTAGTTGTGAGACCGCAAGGTTGGGCGCCAAGACCAGATAAGCAGCGGTGAATAAAAGGCTTGTTGTTAACGAAGTCATTTTGCTGTAAATAAAACGATAATGAATTTAACGAATAATACAATCCCCCCATCATTCCTCGTACATTAGAGTACAGAGGAAAAAAAAGAAAAGAAAAAAAAACACTATGAAACGTAAAATAGGATTTCAAATTGAACAGTATTACGTAGTGTTACTAACCAGCAGGAGCCAGCGAGCACACGAGATAGAGACGCGATCTTCTGATGACAACTAGTACTGCAAACGGCATCCTGGCAGTTATATAGGGCTCTCAAAATACATGTTGCGGGGCACATCCTTCGTTGCTTGCCCCCTTTTCTCCCGTTTATTATGTTTCATTAGTATATTTTACTATTATTGTGACAGCTAGTGTATGGACTTATAAGGCGTAGTGTTTAAAGATCGTGTGTGTATTGTGTATATATGATAAAGTCTCTTTTTTCGATTCAAGGTAATTCTCATTCATATTGTCTATCAGTATGTCTGTCTGTCTGTCTCTCTGTCTCTCTCTCTCTCTCTCTCTCTCTCTCTCTCTCTCTCTCTCTCTCTCTCTCTCTCTCTCTCTCTCCCTTCTCCCTTCCCCCACCACTTTCTCTTTCTCCCTCCCCTACCTCTTTCACTCTCCTTCTCTCCCCTTTCCTCGCCCCTCCCTATTTCCCATTTCCGTCTACCTATCTTATCTATCTTTTTTTTTCCTTTCTCCTCTCTCTCTCTCTCTCTCTCTCTCTCTCTCTCTCTCTCTCTCTCTCTCTCTCTCTCTCTCTCTCTCTCATGAATTCATAAAGCTGAAGTTCACGAATCTATTCAGAAAATCATCATCATCATCATTTGGGGGCTAACGCCGGTAGGGGCGCATAGCCGCGTCCACCCTTCGTTTCCACCTGCGAGGGTCTCTCATGGCGAGCCGCCAGGCAGGGGCCCGGCCCATCTCTAGTTCCTCACGACAGGTTTGATCGATCTGCCCAAGCCATGACCTTCTTGGTCGTCCCACAGGCCTCCTCCACCCAGGGTTGTCTCGAACAGAGACAACCTGATGGGCAGGATCATCCTGCGGGAGTCGAGCCAAGTGGCCATATAGCCTGAGTTGGCGATCACGGATTGTGCAAGTAACAGGTCCTGTACCGGTCTCACGGTGTAGCTGTTGGTTGGACACATGGTCCCGCCAACTGTACCCCATGATCCGGCGCAAGGATCTGTTACAAAAGGCATCGAGACGAGATTCCAAAGCACAAGATAGCGTCCAAGTTTCACTACCATAAAGTAAAACTGGCAGTATCAGGGCCTTGAAAACTCGTAGCTTGGTCCTTCTGCACAGGTACCGGCATCTCCAAATACTCTTGTCGAGAGATTTCATGACCCCTGCTGCCAGGCCAATCCGTCTACTGACTTCCTGGTCTGACAGCCCAGAGTCATGAACTGCACTACCGAGGTATATAAAGCTCCTAGTGACTTCGATGTTTTCACCGCAAGCACGGACCGACTGCACAGGGTCTCCTAGTAGGCCCCCAAAATCCTGGATCTTGGTCTTGGTCCAGGAGACCTCTAGCCCCAGGGGCTTCGCTTCATTGCTAAATGCATCAAGAGCCGCTACTAGGGTTTCCAGAGATTCAGAAAGAATGGCAACATCATCAGCAAAGTCAAGGTCTGTAACCTTGATATTGCCCAGAGTTGCTCCACAGTGACTTTGGACAGTAGCTCTACCCAGTATCCAATCCATGCAAGTGTTGAAAAGTGTTGGTGCAAGGACACAGCCTTGCCTCACGCCTGAACTAACAGGAAAGAAGCTCGACAGGCCCCCACCACACTTTACAGCACTTTCAGTGCCTGTATACAAGTTTGCTATTAGCCCAACAATCCTTGTTGGAATTCCTTTCAGTCTCAGGATCTCCCAGAGTGATTCGCGATGCACCGTGTCAAACGCCTTCTTGAGGTCGATGTAGGCTGCAAGCAGCCCACGTCCGAACTCACGACGGCGCTCTACAATGACTCGAAGCGCCAGGATGCGGTCTATTGTGGACTTACCAGGAGTGAATCCAGATTGCTCCGGTCTTTGGTGCCTCAGGAGGTGGTCTCTGATACGTCTCAGTAAGATGTGGGCGAGTACCTTGCCTGGCACACTGAGCAGTGTAATGCCTCGGTGATTGCTGCAGTCCCACCGATCCCCTTTCCCCTTCCAGAGAGGGATGACCATACCCCTCAGTAGGTCAGGGGGAATGGTACCGGTCTGCCAGATGGCAGACAGGACTGCATGCAAGCCCCTTGCCATAGGTTCTCCACCAGCCTTTAACAATTCAGCTGGGATGCCACAGACACCTGCTGCTTTACCACTCTTCAGCTTGGAGATCGCCCCCCTGACTTCAGTCAGGGAGGGTGGATCCTCGCTGATGAGTGGGTCTGGCAGAGGAGTCTCAACATTCCCAGCATCCAAGTTAACTGTTGGTGGATCAACCTGATACAGCTGCTCAAAATACTCAGCCCAACGCACACGCACCCCATCAGGATCTGTGATTACCTGACCACTCGCTGAGCGGACTGCCGTCGTCTGTGAGGAGGGCTTGGAGTTCAGCTTTCTCAGGGCTTGGTAGGCAGGACGAAGGTCATTTACTAGGAAACGGCTTTCGACCTCCTCTGCAAGATTACTGATATACTGTTCCTTATCCCTTCTCAGCAGTGACCTAGTCCTGCGCGCCAGAGAACGGTGCAAATTGCGATCCCCTGACAATCGAGCTGCACGGCAAGCTTCTGTGGCTTCCAGTGTCTCCTGCGAGATGGTATTCTGTCTTGCTCTAGGGCGTACACCAATGGATTCCTGAGCTGCATCAAGCGTTTCACGCTTGAAGGAATCCCACATAACAACAGGGTCCGTCAGGCCCTCGAGTGCTGTGAACCGACCAGAGATAGCCTCAGCAAACCCCCGGGCACACTCATCCTCCCTCAGTCTGTCCAGATGAAACACCCTGGGGTGCTCATTTGGTCGACGGGGGGTTTTAAAGTGGACCCGGAGAGTAGCCACAACTAATCTATGATCAGTTCCACAGAACTCGGCGCTTCGATACACCCTGCAGTTCTGGAGGATCCTCCACCGAGTGCTGACGAGGATGTGGTCGATCTCCTTGGCCACCCTACCCGTATCGCTGTACCAAGTCCAGCGATGCGGGTCAGAACGCTGATACCAGGAGCCAGAGATCCTCAATTTCTGGGACCTAGCAAAGTCACGGAAAAGGAGGCTATTCTCGCTGCCAGCATCAGCTCCTGAGCCATGGGGACCGACAGACATCTCGTAGCCAGCTCGATCACATCCGGATACCGCATTGAAGTCGCCCAAAACAATACGAATATCTCGCCGAGGACAACTGTCTGCCACAGATGCAAGTTTGGTGTAGAACATCTCTTTCACCTCAAATTTATATACATCCGTAGGAGCGTACACAGCAATAAGAGACATGAAGCCAAATGACAGCTTCAGTCTCAATACCATTATACGCTCATCGACTGGAGTGACCTCTACTACCGAGGGTTGAAGTCGGCTGGAGATGGCTATGGCTACTCCCTGGAGATGGTGGCCATCGCTGCGGCCCGACCAGTAGTAAGTGTAGCCACCCACACTAATCGTGCCGCTGCCAGGTCTTCTCACCTCCGAGAGAGCAACCACCTCAACTCTCAGCCGCTTCAATTCCCTCGACAGTAGTGGTAACCGATCATCCTGTCGCAGGGAACGGACGTTCCAAG